TGACCCTTCTCACACCAAGAGCATGGCGCAGTCACCCTTGACCGAGTTCCCATTTTTCTACCTCTTTGCCTTTGTGACTGCCTGCGGTCCAACCTGCTTTATGTCTTCCACTGCTCCTCCCCCACCCTGTTCCACATGGACTGCCTGAGTCACAGCCTACTCCAGCGCTCACGCCTGCCTGCTTGCTCTATGCTCCCAGTACAGCTCCCCAAGGGCACTTTCTGTGCTGTTCTAAAGGGCACTGGCACACAGGTCCCTTGCTCTGCCTCTCCCTCCTTCCCCATCTACTGCTTGCCCTGGTAGGTAGGCTCCCCTATTGTGACTGACACAACTGACCCCAAACTTCTTTCCTCACCAAGATTCTTTTGGAATGATGGCTACACTGCTGCCCAGGACACAGCATCCTACAGCAGAGTGCCTGGCTTCAGGCCCACACTCTACTTCCATTTACAGTGTCCTGCTAACATACATCCTGAGAAGCAGCAGTTAATGGCTCAAGTACTTGACTCTGCCACCCACCACAGGAGACACCAATGGAGTTCCATGATCCTGGATTTTACTTAGCCTTGTCTGGGCTGTCGTAGGCACTTCGGGAATAAACTAGCATTGCAAGATACGTGTGTGTATGTGTGTGTGTGTGTGTGTGTGTGTCCCTCTGTGTGCCACACTGCATTGGAATAAATAAACACATCTTTTTAAAAACTAAACATCTAAGATCTATGAATAGGGCCCAGTGTGGTGGCCTAGCAGCTGGGATCCTATCCTTGTGTGCCTTGGGACCCCATATGGGTGCTGGTTCTGATCCCAGCAGCCCTGCTTCCCATGCAGCTCCCTGCCTGTGGTCTGGGAAAGCAATCAAGGATGGATCAAAACCTTGGGACCCGGCATCTGCGTGGGTGACTTGGAAGAGGTTCCTGGCTTCAGATTGGCACAACCCTAGCCATTGTGGCAGCTTGGGGAGTGAACCAACAGACAGAAGATCTTCCTTTCTGTCTTTCCAACTCTCTGTATATCTGATTTCCCAATAAAAAATAAATTTTTTTAAATGTTAAAAAAGATTTGTAAATAAAGCAAAATATGGTGAAACCTGCATGAAACACTACCATTTTTGTCTGTTCTGATTTTCTGTAAGCTCAAAGCACTTAATGTCTATGCAAGAAATTAGTAATGGGAGCTCCTGGTTTTGAAAATGGGTGAGAACTGATGGACAGTATCGGAGCGAGGAAAGAACCCTTACCAGCTATCAGTTTTTCCTTTCAAACTGCAAGCCATGCCAATATGCTCTATGGGTATAATTTGAATACACATTTTAAGTGTCCCTTGCATAAACCCAGTAAATCTGGATGAACAAGAAAGAGGTATGTGGCCAGGATTGTGGTACAGTGCATTAAGCCACTGCTTAAATGCCAGCATCCCAGGCATCCTGTACCAGAGCACTGGTTCAAGTCCTCGGTGCCCTGCTCTGACACGTATAAAAGCAGTGGACAATGACCCAAGTCCAAGAGTAGGATGGAGCCCTGGCTCCTGGTATCAGTCTGGTACAGTTACAATCCTTGTGGCCACTCAGAGAATGAACAAGCTGATGGAAGAACTCTGTCTCTTCATTTCTTTATGTCACTCTTACAAATCAATATGTAAATCTTACAGAAACATAGGTATGTGACTCATCTGTTACCATTTCTAGCCTGTATCCCTGTCACTCCTAATGTTCCCATTCTGTCACATAGTGTATTAGGAGCTCCCAGGCAAGTAGTACAAAATCATTAGTTTTGTAAATGTCAAAGTAATATATAACATCAATTTACAGTCATAAACCCTGGGATCATTCTCTACAGCTTATGAAGTACTTTCAGGAGTGCTAATGAGGCCCTGACAAAGACCTCACTATATTAATTACTTTATGTCTTATAGTCTTATAGATAGCCAAGACTGGAGTTGTGAGAAACAAATGGACCTGACCAAGGTCCTTCTGGGAAGGGCAGAGCCAAACTAGGTATTGTAAGGGCCAACATTCCTGCTACTGTGGTTTAGGCACACCATCCCTCACCCAACCCCGTCATCTGTCCCCACTACAGAGAAGGAACAAGAGAAATTGAGGGCAGCAGGACCTTCCCAGATGCCTTTTTAACCCCATGACATTTGTGGGACTGGCTGATGTAAGGCCGGGTTGGTCTAGACCTGGTCCTAGGGGACAGTGCTGGCTGAAAGCAAAAAGGATCCAACTTCTGTTTTGACTGTTACACTCGCCTGGCAGGAGACCAAAGAGGAAGGAAGAATGTCCTTGGCTGGTGTGAAGTGAAGCCTGCCAGGAAGTGCTCTGTCATGCCAAGGACATCCCCCAAGTCCCATTAACACCATGATACCATACTGGAGCAGCGCTGAGCATACTCAGTGACACTAAGTTCTTGGCAACTTTTGAAAGCAAGATCGCATTTACTGACTAAGGTGTGGGTGGGGCACTTGAAAATGCTGGAAAGGCACCCAGGGTATGGGAGGGTTTTGCTCCTACAACCCCAGTAGAATGTCACCCTGGGGTGGAGGCGGGTAGAGAGTGCAACATAAGAGTTTTTCTAACATTTTCCTCTGCTTTGAACTCTTCACCTCAAGATCCACTGAGAATCCCAGATTCTTGGACTCCTACAACATAGAGGCAGCAAGAGCGAAGACAACAAAATGTGGCTCTGTATCTACAGTCTGGATCCGCACCCCCCACCTCCCAAGCCAGGAGAAGCTCAGAAAGCAACAGCCTCGACCACAAGAGCCCCAGAGCTTGCTGGCGTGTCTGGGGCATTCGCAATCTGAGGACCAGCACCCAACCAAGCAAAGTATGTGTGCAAAGTCCAGAGCCCCTCCAAACCACCTTCAGACCATGCCAAGCAGGAAGGGTGTTCTCTTTAGCAAGTCTCTGGATCCTTATTCCTGCTTGACTCTTTCTGCTGACCCCCAGGCTCCACAGGGACAGCAGTAAACACAAAGGGACCTGAGTAATAATTCCGATCCTTCCAAAAGCTGAAGAAAAACAGGATGCTTCTGGCAGATGAATCCTAGGTAGAATCAATGCTTACTTTCCCCAAAGAGAAAGTTTTAGAACTTCTAAGGAGGAATAATCATCAATAATTACTTAACTCTGGATCAATCTGAATCAATTCTGGATCAACACCTATTTCAATCACTTGAGTATGCTAAACTGTGCTAAGGAGGGCTGCATAATTCTTGAAATTTCAATTGACTGTCGGTTAAAATGTGGAAGTAGGGGGCTGATTTCATGTGGCTCCCATGTGGTCCCTTTCAAAGCCGGTAAGGAGTAAACACCAAACTCACACCCAGCTTCTGAAATGGGCTCTCAGAAGCTCAGCCATCTGCTACCATGATTTTTCCTTTCCTCAAATTCACTCTCCCACACTTTGTTATCTAGGAGGTCAAGAAGAATCAAAGGAAAGGGAAAAGGAATTCTCCCCAAGATCAACATCTGATCCACAAAAATAGATCTGCCTTCACACTGAAACTATGCTCCACAGCTTTATTGTTCTATTTTTTTTAACCTAAAAAGATGGAAAAACTTAATTCCCAGAATGTTAATAGTTTCATTATGTGACCGTTGAGCTAATAAGCTATGCAGCTCAAGAGCTTTTGGGCTAAGCTACTGAGGTATTTTTGGAATAGTATCTGATGTGTTGACATAAATCTGTTATCAAGGATCTAGTCATATAAGCAAAGCTCCCACAATAGCAGGTCCACGGGCCAAGTCTGGCAAAACTGCATCTGCAATATGCAGGAGAGGTGACTCAGGCTTGCACTTGGCACATCCATTTTAACACGGAGTGGGCAACAAACAGTAACAATTAAAGAGGGAAAAGCAACAGGTGCTTGGAATCCTGTTGACAAGCATTCAGAAAATTCCAGCAGAGCTTGGAGGCGGGTTAAAAGAGCCCAGATTATTGTCAACAGTGTCAAGCCCAAGAGCGAGCCTCTGAATGATGTTAGAGAATAAACACATTTCCTTTGTTAAACAGCCCTCTCCATCACGTGAACAGCTTTCGTCTAGGAGGAGATGGCAAGTGGGGGCCAGCAAGTGCTGGGCAGAAGCCGAAGAGGTTGAAAAGAATAAGAAGCTTACCTGGATGTTCAGGAAGGCACTTCCTTCAAACCCTTCATTTGTAAGTAAAAAGCAGGCGATTTAACACACAAAAATGGGGCTTCAAGTGATACCCATTCTAGAACCCTCTCCAGCAGTCTACTGCATTGTCCTAAAAACATCTTCGGTAGGGGACTGGGCAAAACAGGCCAACATCTCACCAAGCTAGACCCACCCCATCTTCCCTCCTACCATGCCAACCTGTGGTTGGGGCAGTGCCACCGCTTCGACAGTCCTCAAAAATTCAACCCCCGCTTCTGGCACTAGACTCCGATTGGAAGACCTTTCTAATTTCACACTCAAAACAATCACGACCCTTACATTCCACACACACTCTGGCCACTCCAAACTCCTGCATCTTAGTGGAGAACCATGGGATTGTCAGCTGTCATAGTTACTTAGTTTTATTTTTTGAGAGCTTTTATTCACTCCATGACAAGTCCTCAAAACCCTATGCCATCAGCAACAGTAATGACGATGGTCATACCAACCCACTCACACGTATTCAACTTCCTTTCATGTGCTGTGCCAAGGCATTCATCCATGAGCGTTCTTTACATACTCAAATCACATTGTATAAGCCCATGACATAGATGCCACAACTGCCTCCATTTTGAAAAAAGAAAGGAAACTGAGGCACACCTGTGCCACCCTTTATCCCACCTCATATTTTATAAGGAATCTCTTATTGAATAGCAGAGCCTCGGGATTCCAACGTTTCTGGTCCATGTTTTCTAACAGTTGGGAAAAAGGCAGAAAGACAGGGAAGAGTAACAGCCTTTGGATAAATATTCTCAATTCCTTTGACCCCAAAACTCAAACAGGATGTAACCACGCTTCTGCTTTCTCTGCGGCACGTTCTTACCCGGTTGTCTTCCTGGATCTCCCAGTCACTGGAGGAAGTACCCAGCTGCTGCCCATGGGAACAGTTGGAAAACTGGAAAAGGCTGGAAAACATCCTCCTGTTCTCCTGAGTGTCTGGAAAGATGGCATCTTGGAAATTAACTCCGTGAGGCAAGAGGTTATAGTTTTCATCCATCCTAAAGGGGGACATAAAAACAATGGAGATGTGAACTGGGCAGCCGAGGAGGGTCCGGCCTCAATCAGGAGTCACAGAAGCCTGAGCCAGCGTGGCCTGCCCCCCACCCCTCCTCCAGTGTCTCCCATGGCTCTCACTGTAGGAGTTACTCCAGGGATGACCTCTACCATTGGGATTTTCAAAAACATGAGTTTAGCCAAGGTAAAGGAGACGGTGTGTGTATGTGTGAGCATTTGTCCATTTGTGCCCCCTCCCTGTCCCCCAGACCCCTATAGACCTTCCTTCTGAAACACACAGTGCTCCTAGTCCCCTGATGAAAGGCAGGCCTGTCACAGGGACCAGGGTTCAAGTCCTGCTTTGTCACTTAATTGCTCTATAACATGAAACATTTTTTTCTCTAAACCTCAGTACATGGGCTGGTGCTGTGCTATATAGCATACTATGCTTCCACTTGAAGTACAGCCATCCCGTTTGGGCACCTGTTCATATCCTGGTTGTTCCACTTTAAAAAAAAAGATTTTTATTGAAAAGTTAGATTTATAGAGAAAAGGAGAGACAGAGAGGAAAGATCTCCCATCTCCCATCCACTGATTCACTCCCCAAGTGGCTGCAATAGCCAGAGCTGAGCTGAGCTAATCCGAAGCAGGAGCTAGGAGCTTCTTCCAGGTCTCCCACATGGGTATAAGGTCCCAAGGCCTTGAGGCCATCCTCTATTGCTTTCCCAGATCACAAGCAGGGAGCTGGAAGGAGGCAGAGCAGCTGGGATACAAACCAGTGCCCATATGGGATCCCTGTGCTTGCAAGGCAAGGACTTTAGCCACTATGCTGGGCCCCTGGCTGCTCCATTTAAGAGCCAGCTCCCTGCTAACATTCCATGCAGAGCAATGGAAGGTGGCCCAAGGCCTGGAGCCTCTGCAATTTCCTCATGGGAAATTGGGAAGAAGCTCCTGGCTCCTGGCTTTGATCAACTTAGGTGTGACCATGGTGGTTGTTTCTGGTGAGTGAACCAACGGATGGTAGATCTGTCTTTTCTGTAAAATCTGCCTTTCAAATAAAAATAAATCTTTAAAAAAAAAAAAAAAGACCTCAGTACTTTCTCAGTGGTGTTGTCAGGACTGCATTTAAAAACCCAAGTACAGCTGTTGCCTCTCACCCATGTTTTCACTTCCCATGGTTTCCATGATCTGTGGTCAACCATCCCAAATTAGAAAGTTCTTTTTTTAAAAAAAAAAGCCTATAAATATGAAAATGTAATTCTTCTATTTCATTATGAGTTACTGTAGTTAACTTACACATTAAAAACATAATAAAAGATTAAAGTAAGCACAGGCAATGCATATGTAGAAAAAAAAATCTCGTGTATATAACCTTGGTACTCTGTGGCTTCAGGCTTCATTGGGGAACCTTGGGGTGGATACGAGGGAACTGTGGAAAAGCAGAATGTGTGTAGCTTAAACATCAGTAAACATTGTTCCAGAGCCTCACTCAGCCTGACAGTTAGCTAAGAAAGTCAGGACAAAGGAAAGGCAGCTATGAGGCAAGTTCCCGTGGCTGTGCTCCCAGTCCACCTTCCCCTAACCCCCACCCCCTACATACGGAACAGAGTCTGTTCCCGTCTCCCTGGGTCCCAGAACAACACAGGCAGGATGATTTGTGTGCAGTTGTTAAGACACCTCAGAGCAAGACAACACTGGGAAAGGAAATTTGTCAGGCTTCTGTTTCACTTTGCATCTGCGCCCCCCCACCTTTTGGAAGGCAATTATAGCAAAAGACAGAGAAGCCAGCTGATCAGCGCAGCCACCAGGGGACCAAAGTCATAAGGATTAAAACCTGCACGTGTGTGCAGGTCTGTGGGATCTTTGTGCCTTGGAAAACCAAGTTTGTTGCTAAATAACTTTATAGCCAAGACCTCAGGTCTTCCCCTAAATAAAAATGTCAAAACTCCCTGCATATGGCAATACACTCCCTAAGTTCTTGCCTACTTTATTTAGAAACTATTTCCATGGCAATACTTTTTTTTTTTTAAGGAAGAGTTCAACATAATCTCACCAAACCGCTCAAGCCAACACAAAGCAGGACATGTGTTCTAAACTTAGATATTTTGGCTTCGCTGTGGAAAACACGTGTCGCCGCAAGCTTACCAATGTCTCTCTGTGGAACCGTTTTCTTTCTCAGAGGGTGAGCTAAAAGTGAATCTGCAGACCCAGGGCAGAGCCATCGCAAATATCCTCTATGTGCTGCTCACGGACCAGGAAGACTACTGGGATCACTATGAGGGATCAAGACTTATAGATGAACTCACATATCGCGTTGGCATTCTGCTGTTTGTTTCAGTCGGTCTGTATCACAACAGGAGACAACTGATAAATCCGGGGCTGCACCTGCCGTTCCCCTGTGTAAACTTCTGAATTGTCAATCAGAACAGACTGAATTCTGATGCAGATGAATTCCATCATAATCAGGAATCATTTTTTCATTAGACTTCACTGGATTCCAGGCGTCTACAAATCAGAGAGGGCCTCTGCCCGATTCAATTTCTTGACTCCTCAAACCACTGTGATGGGGGGGGGAGGGGTTCTTACCCCCAGCAGGACCCCTATAACCCTAGCTATTTTGAAAAACCTGGCAGCTGAGACAGTGAAAGCAGTGGCCAGCCAGACCACATTCCATACCATTCCCATCTTGGCAATGAAATGGTGACAGATGAGAGAGTGGATATTTGCTGCAAAGCTACCATGCACATCCCACCTTGCTTCTCACTGCCTGCAGGGGAAGAGGCCCTTGGGGATGGTACACAGACAGCTCAGAAATCAGTGAAGCTGTATTTTACAGATTGACTGGCAAACCAGCATCCCAGGTGGGAGTAGGTGGGTTCCCTATGTGGCTCTGGCTGTTGCTAATGCAGACCAGGGGGTTGGGGGGGAGCTCCAGTGATTTTGGGCTCTTGTCACCAAACTAGAGAAACCTGCGTTAAGTTCCTGGCCGGCCCCGGGGCTACTGACTACAGACAAACCAACTTTTTGCAAGATGAGTCAGGTAGGTTTTAGGAAAGCCCTGGGGAGGCTTTCCTGTAACTTTCAAGCAGACACCAGGTCACCGAGGCACTCCTGCCCCTGACTGCTGGAGCCAGGAGCCAGAGAGAACTAACAAGGGACAGGACAACTGTACAGGACACACCTTCTGCAGGACTCCCTGCAGGCTCCAGGTTAACGGCACCGCGGGGGAGGCACGCATCTGCCAGGTGACAGGGGCCAGGCGCGGGACTCACCTGAGGAAGAAGAAATAGGAGTAGTCCTGGACCACGGTGTGCGAGTGGCACGAGAAGTAGCCAAGACCGCTGAGGTTGAGCCTGGAGCCGGCGGGCACCTCCAGCATGCTGCCCCACGCCTGATCGCACAGCATCTCCACTTCGGCCGAGTAAAAGAGTCCGTCTTGGCCGGCGTCGGACTGCCATGGCAGGTAGTTATAGAGGCCGGGTACTTCGGGGTGCAGCGCAAGCACCTTGGCGTACACAATGGTCTCGGCCAGCTCGGCGCGGCAGCCCTCACTCAGGGGTCTCCACTCGGAGGGCAGCTGGCAGGCACGGGCGGGCGCCGGACGGCCGGCCAGGCAGAGCGCAGCGAGCAGCAGCGGACGCAGCATGCCGGCGGCGGGTGCGCGCTAGCCCGGGCGCATGGTGGTGTCCCGCGGGGCGGCCGCCGGGTGCGGGAGAGGCCCGCAGAGGACAGCCCTGGGCGCTCGGGCTGCTGGCGCCGCACCCGGGGGAGGTAGGCGCGCCGCTCGATCTACCTCCGGCCTCACCATGCCCGGCCTCGCCCGCCACGCTTTAAAGGAGTCGAGGCAGCGCAGAGCCGGGCGCCCGCCCCCAGTCCGGGAGGGGCGGGTCCGCGCGGGGCGGAGACCCGGGCGTGCTGAGCGCTGCGAGGCCCCGCTCCGAGCGCCCCTGTACCACTGGAATCAGAGCTTGCCCCGCGCCCACGTTGTTCCAAAAGTCTAGCGTCCTGGAAATAATTATGGTGCGCTTGCATGAGCACTGTCCTTAAGCTTTTTACATTTTCTACGCAGTTCAGGTGGAGTCCAACACACGTGAATCAAATCTTACTTTCACTTCCCAGAGGCTACCTGCGAAGTTCAGAGTGGGATAATAAACTACCTCTCCTCCTCTCACTCTCCTCCTCTCTCCTCCTCTCCCTCTGCCTCTCTCCCTCTCTCCCCTCTCCCTATCCCTCCCCTCTCTCCCTCTAGCCCTTTCTCCCTCTTTACCTCTCCTCCTCTCCATAATTATTTTACTAAAACCTTTGAGAAGAGATTCAGAGGCATTCTACCCTGCTTTTCCTACAGCTACACCTGGTGAGAAGTCAATTTATTCATTCCGAACAGCCTTTCCCAATCCAGTGAATTGCAGACCTGGACAATTCAATTTGCTTTTTAAAGGGTCCTTGTTATTCCCTATAAGAAGAAACAATAAGTTGGGCATGGCGCCTTGTCTTGACAAGTTAAGCCTCCGTTTGTAGTGCCAGCACCCCATATAGGTGCCAGTTCAAGTCCCAGCTGCTCCACCTCCCTTCTAGCTCCCTGCTTGCGGGTGGGGAAGCAGCTGAGGATGAAGCAGCAGGGTCTTGGGACCCTGCACCCACGAGGGAGACTTCAAAGAAGTTCCAGGCTACTGACTTCAGACTGGCCTGGCCCCAGCCACTGTGGTCTTTTTTCTAACTCTGCCTCTCAAATAAAAATAAATCTTTAAAGTAAAAAAAAAAAAAGAAGTAATTTTATCAATTATAGCTATGTTGATGGTATAGTCATATTAATTACATCATGCTATCATTTGTATAATAGGCATATCATGAATATTATAAATTAGCAAAAATTATTTCTATAAAATTGTAAATTTACAAGATTGTAAATTACACTTTTGTATCTTATAAGTATATATTATAAGTTACCTATAATTTTATATATGCAAGTAGATTTATAAGTGAACATGCCTTAACCTGAAAGATTGTTCTGCAAGCATCTTACCAATTTAAGTTTCTGAAGTTTGAACCTTGGAGCCAGTTGCATTCTTCCTTGAGTTTTAAAGAAAAAAGCAAGTTTCTGGGACAATGTGGAAGTCAGGCAAGGAGAAGGGAGGCTACTGAAGTTGGGGGATAAAATTCAAGGCCACACCTGCCCTTCCCATGACTCTCTTTCAAAGGTGCCTCAATATGTCATTTGTCATCATTAAATTCACGGATGCTGTGTGGACATAGTTGTTGACGGGTGACTTGGGTCTAAGTTCAGCCTCTGTGGAAAGGATCCAGGAAACGGGGCTATGGGAAGCACAGTGCTCTGGGAATCCAAGGAAATCTGAGGGGGCACTTGGGGTGCCCTCGGATAGGGATATGATCATAGAACTCCAGGCAGCCTGATTGCGCTCCTGAGGGACTGGAATGCTCCCACTAATGGCAGGGTCACCTCCCTCGTTCAGAGTCTTGTCATGACTCTCCCAACTGAATTCTCATCCTCACAAACCTTTGATGACAGACCCCAAAGTGGGAAGAGCAGAGAGTTCCTCAAAGACAGTGAGGGGTCCCTGCGTATCTAGTATCCAGACTCAATAAACCCTGTGAGGGAAAGCCTGGTTATCAAACTGTGACTCAAGCAGACAACAGACACAATGGTACAGAAGATGTAGCCCTGACCCAGCCGAACAAGTACCAGACCTCCACCCAGTGGGTAGATGGTGTTCAAGGATGGAATCAGAGGTTGAATGTCAGCACTGCTAATTGGTCTCTTGCAGAATATTTCAACTTTGGAATTTTAGCACGTGATTGCATGCACCTGCCAGGGCCACCATAACAAAATATGGCAGAGTGGGTGGGTTTATGGCTCACAGATTGGGAGGCTGGCCATTGAACGACAAGGTGTCAGCATCCACATTCACATCTGCTGAGGGGTCACTTTTCCTAGTCTGTGCACAGCCACCTTCTGGCTATGTGCTTGCATGGATTTCCTTTTGTGTGCTGTACAGAGAGGGAGATCCAGTATCCATTTTTTCCTTGTGAGGCTGTCAGTCCTGCAGGGTTAGACACACACACACACACACACACACACACACACACACACACACACCACTTTATGACTCCGTGTAACTTTAACGCCCTCCATTAAGGACCATTCTCCAAATACAGTCACAGTGAGGCATTAGAGCTTCAATACCAAAATATGGGGTGGGGCTGTGCATATAGTTCAGTCCACAGCAATGATTCAGCAGGTGTTTTGCTAGTTTATAGGAGGGATAGGGTTTTCCTCCTGGCAGACAGACTCAGAGTAATCATTGCCAAATTGTAGGAGTAACAATTACTAGCATTTGTTCATTTGCTTACTCTGGGCCACACATCGTTATAAGGACCTTATCTATGTTATTTTAATTAATTCATCAAGCAACAGTCTGAAACAAATATGACTGCTCTCTTCATCTCACAAGTAAGGAAAGACTAAAGGGCTTACCCAGATCACAGAGTTGGCAAGTGACAGGATTCAAGTTTCAACAATCGCTACTCCACTTGAGGAGAGACACAAATAGGATGCTTGAAGGTCCAAAGTGGACCCTGTTCCTAGGATGTATAGAGAGTATATGAATAGTAATAACTGTAGCATTATCACCAGTGATGACTCAATGAGTGTGTAACTGACCTAATGTTAATTTCTTATTACTTACAAGCCCCAGTCCACTTCAGTCCTATGCTGTCACTTTTGCAGACAAGGAAGTTTATCTTTTGAATTTCACCTGTGTCTTCAAATCCCTCAGAAGCCTGGGAAAGATTTGGCTACTTCTATAAATTTCAGAACCCTGAATTTTCTTTCCACTTAGATGAGCAACTAAATTAAAAAAAAAAATCAATGTGTTTTGTCTGTTTCCTCTCCTGTATAAACTTTTCTTTTTATTAGACCTCCATTGCACTTTTATTTGATGTGATATTTCGGACAGTTATCCAAAAAGCCCAATTTAATGAGGTCAAAATGAAACAAACACCAAAACAGTATTTGGGATTTCCATTTCTCATCCTTATTATCAACACTCACTGCCTCCTGTCATCAATATTTATTAAGCATGTATAGTGTACTAGAACATACAAAAAACATTGTCCCTGCACTTGAGGAGCATACATTCTAAAAGAAAAAAAAAATACAGCTCTTTTAAAATCGCATTGCTGTTTGGTGCTTTCTGCAAAGTACTGAGGAAATGTCTTACAGGGTGAGCTTTGGGTATAATTTAGCCCCATCGTTATTTGAAGAGAGGAAGAAAGGATTTTAAAAGCAAACAGTGGAACCTGACGTGGTACCTAGTGGCTAAAGTCCTCGCCTTGAATGCGCTGGGATCTCATATGGGCGCAGGTTCTAATCCCGGCAGCTCCACTTCCCATCCAGCTCCCTGCTTGTGACCTGGGAAAACAGTAGAGAACAACCCAAAGCCTTGGGACCCTATGCCTGTGTAGGAGATCTGGAAAAATCTCTAGAAGAGCTCCTGGCTCCCTAGCTTCAGATCCGTGCAGCACCGGCTGTTGCGGTCACTTGGGGAATGAATCAACAGACAGAAGATCTCCCTCTCTGTCTCTCCTCCTATATGTATATCTGCTTTTGCAATAAAAATAAACAAATCTTTTTTAAAGGCAAACAGTGATAGACCATTCAGGATATGCAGTGTCTGGTCTGGTTGGGGAGCTAACAGGACAACCTTAGTTGGGTTGAGGTTCCCACCAAGGAGCGCGTGGGCTGGAATGGGGGCTGCATTCTGGTCAGGATACGGCTGTAGTCTCCCTTGGCACAAGTGTGGACTAGGATTGGATGCACCGAGCTGAGCCAGACTCCAACACCCTCTGGTGTCCTGGAGGACCAGGGTAGATGTGGGATGGACTAGGCAAGTTCCCTGCCCCTACTGAGCCATGTGTGAGCAATATTTGGGTATGGACAAGCCACGGCTGGGCTAAAACATCCAACAGCAAGGACCAGTTTGGGTTAAAGATCAGTCAGGAAAAACCACTGTTCCTGCTAGGACAGGAGGTGAACTGAGTAGGGCTGGCTCAGGGACCCCCTGGTGGCACAAAATCTGGCATTGGGAGAGGTGCTGATGGAGGGGCCTGGGCAACTCCTCTAGCAGGACACAGACCCGGTAGGTAAGCACAAGAAGCATGGAAGGAAATAGCCCAGAACAGGCCATGGAAAGTTACCCACTGGCATACATTTGGCACGGATCGGGAGCAGACCAGACTGAATCACTTCAAGTGATCCACTGGCAAATCCGAGCACCAGAACAGAGTGAGGGTCAAGCCAGGTTCGGTTGCGACAAAAATCAGTGCACAATATGGAATGCCAAGGTGAGGTTGCCTGTACAGGATGTGACCGCAGCACCCAACCAGCACACGTGAGAACCAGGAAGGGAGGGGGCAGAGCCGGCAGGGGGAATAAGGAGGGTTCCTTTGCTGGACAGCTACTCCCACTGGAGAACGTGGGCTTGTATGGGGGCAGACCAGACTAAGCAGGGCTACAACACCTATGCGCCTCATGTGGACTAAATCAGGGAAAAGCCAGGCTGGGTTGATTATTCCTACTGGTGCAAATAAAATTAGAGTGGGTGAGGGTTGTTTGGGCTTAGTCAGAGCATCAGCTGGCAGAAGCTGGCACTGGGGGCTAATTTTGTCAAGTCAAACCACAGAACTACCTGGAGAGTGGGAGAG